TCGAGACAAGACGAGCCGCATAGAAGGAGAGACGACATACGACCTCTTGCGGCGCTCTATAAAACGCGCATATGGTGATGTCGCCAGCTGGCCCGTTTCGCGCGCCGGCCTCAACACCTGCACCCCGAACATACGGCGTGGGACAACACTCGACAGGCGCTAGTAGCCGCGTGCGAACGAGTGCAGGGACCGCTCCGACAGTCAGGTGAGGACCGCTCCGGTAGTCACGTCAGGACCGCTCCGATAGTCGGGTCAGGACAGCTCCGACAGCCAGGTCTGGACCGCTCCGAAAGTCAGGTCTGGACCTCTCCGCTAGTTAGGTCAGGATCTCCCAGGCAGTCAGGTCAGGACCGCTGGGACAGTCAGGTCAGGACCGCTAGGACAGTCAGGTCAGGACCGCTAGGACAGTCAGGTCAGGACCGCTAGGACAGTCAGGTCAGGACCGCTAGGACAGTCAGGTCAGGACCGCTAGGACAGTCAGGTCAAGATCTCTCCAGCAGTTAGGTCAGGACTTCTCCGGCCATCAGTTTTGGCGGCTTTGCTCTACTTGCTGGCCTGTCCTACACCAGCACATAACCTATTTAAAGGGAATACTCCACATTCATACAGGGCTTTGAACCGAAATAGACGCGTTGAAGATCATTTGGTGCAGTTCACAGTCCTGCCCTTTTTGAGACCCAAGTTCCTCTAGTGTTTGAACCACACACCCGCGAAGACTTACAAATAATTTCAGGTGAACAATTTCGGGGTCATCCAGGTGTCCATGACTCCATAATGACGTCATTCAAATTCTGTCACATTATTAGCCATGCGGCGGTCAAGGCCAATAAGAATATAGCAGTCCAGCCGTTCACACCTGGCGGCCGTGAGCACGATTTTGAAATATGTCGGTCGTCAATTGGCTATCAATGTTGTGCAAGCTACGATGAAGTATTCAAGTAGTGATCTATTCAGCAGCACATTTACGAAACAGCAGTATTGTGCTCAGCGCAGTTCTCTAGAGCAGCCTGTACCATTTAAAGTAAAGCAAGAATTATAAGTGAATTTATTTCATCATGGCTCATGCTTTCTTCAATATCTTCAAACGTGAAGCATTTCCTTAAACTTTACTTAGATCTGCATACATACTAAAAAAAATTAACGGAGTGGCACTGGGTGGGCACGTGGTTACCTTAAGGTACGTTTGCTGCTTAAAGGTTGGCTTAGAGGTAAAGGTAAGTTGTGTTTGTGCCTTTTGGATAGTTCAAAAGTAATTTTCTTCTTCTCACTTCAAGAACAAAGTTGGTCGAATATGTCCATCGCGTGGCTGAATGTGCCATAATATATATATATATATATATATATATATATATATATTATATATATATATATATTATATATATATTATATATTAGCATACATATAGCCATAATAAGTACATACCAACACTTTCCACCTAAATGCATGTAACATCTGGCCTTAAGTATATTTCTCTCATTTCTTCTTCGTCCGCGGACGACCCTGAAATATTTGGTTGCATAGCATATATGGATGGTGTAGGCAATTGCAAACAGAGGTCCCCATGTTTTGCATCGATGTTGCAGCATTGCGTGGAACGGGAGTAGAATAAAGACCTGTTATGCTTTCCCAGACTGTTTCTAAGTCCTGTTATCATCTGCAGCGAAAGAAGAAAGCCGACCTATGGTTGAAGCCGCATTCGATTCCAGGTAAACAATCTCGCCGGCGGTTCTATGCGCAGTGTCGCTGGGGTGGGAGTCGATGTGCATACTTTGTTGTGACCAGCACAATGCCAAATATGGCACATCCGTTGTTCGATGAACCACTTGAAATGCGATCATGTGATGCCGAAAGTTCATATCTGAAAAACGTCCGCTCTCGGCTAAGCTGCAATGAGTCGGTAAAGGAAGTGAAATCACTGCCACCTCAGCTGCTGGTATGCGTTATTTGACTACGCGCATGGCTGAAGGCAAATGCATGTGTTTAGGACAGAAATATGGAATGGTGGAATAGATGGAGTGCTAGATGGAGTTACATTGGTATGGTGAATGTGATGACTGAATACATGGAGTGAACAGATAAGATGACGAGACGGCATGAATAGATGGAATGGCAAACATTTTAAAATAAAGATCGTCTTGATGCATGGTCGTTAGAACAAACAACTTTCTCGGATTGCTCATGAATGTCCACAGTGGCGGAAGCCGAAACCTCCCATGGGGGTGGGTCCATTGCAACTGTCTGCCGTTTGCCTCTATGCATCTCTTCATTGTCAAATAATAGGTTGCGGCAAAGTTGGAGGGGGGAATTGTTTCCCTGCCCCAAGCCTGCCCCCTCCGTTGTTCGTCCCTGGTGAAGCGATTTAACCGCGGGTCTCATGTCGATTTGCAGATTTGACATATATCAAGCGTAGAACGGTTACTTGGGCAAATAAGGGGGGGGGGGGCAGATATGCGACAACTTGCTTGTTGTTGCTGTTCGGCCGTAAGACATAGTGTGATGCAAAATTCAACGCCTGGGTATGCAGGAAGGAGGCACATGGAGACTTTTTCAGATTAACAGGTCAATATTTACGATTGGTCGAGAGCCTGTGTTGGCATACATTTCGACACGATGCATTTTTCCACACCATCCGTCCACGATAGGTGAAGATCGTGAAAGATCCCCCGGCCGGCAGTGTGTGGGACAGCAAGCAGGCTGCCGCCGTGATTAAAAACTCCCCCTCCGAGCAGAACGAGATCATCGGGACGAGAGGAGCCTGAGAAGTCAAGGCAGATCGGCGAGCCCTTGCGGCGGGGCGCCTCGCAGCAGCAGGAGGACTGGTGAGCTGATCTTACAGAACTCCATAGCGCGGCGGCGTATTTTTCCTCTTCGGATCGCCCCTTAAAGGGGGACATCTGCCCCCGGTCAGCCAGGTAAGATGGATGGACGCGTGACACCCGATCGACGGTGCGCGAGGATAACAGCATAGCTGTCTCATTCCCACCTCCCAGGATTCAGAACGGCTATTTTTTTAATGCAGCTGGTTCCGTTTTGCCGCGTTCACATATTATCAACAGCCAAACGCTGGAGGTGGGATGCCGTGGTTAAGGACATACAACCATATACGAGGAGACAGCCGTTCATGGTGCCTGACCGGACCTTCCGTCCCGCCAATTCTCCGGGCATTACGGGTGTGGGTGGGGGGCGGGGTCTGTGATGGAGTGCATTCGCTGCGCAGCTACCCGACTGCCGCTGGTGGCTCGCGTCGTGGGCTGATGCCATCGCACCTCCCCACAAGAGCGAAATTAATAATAAGGAGCCCATTAGTCAGTATACGAGCCAGATAATGCCAAGTGCACGACTCAGCACGTATAGACTCCGGTGCATCAACACGCACGTGTGGGTCGCAGAGCCAGGATGTCCTGCCCCAGGCTTCTGCCGCCACCGCTGCTGGTGCCTGTGATCGATGCAAGAATGATGAGCAAAAGTATCACACTTTAGTATATACCGAGGCCGAAGGCGAATAGGGCGAAATATGTAAGCTAATCTTGGTCTGCCTTTTGCCAAGTGTTATGATACTACCATTTGTTACGTGCTCTTTCCTTGATGTTGGTGCTCCGGCGCTGCACAGCGCATGGATTTGAGAAATTCCGTGACTTTTGTCATACAGACCGAACAGAAACCTCTGTGTTTTTGGCATGCCATCGAGATTGACGGCATACGTACCGCTATATTTACGCCAGTGATATTCACAAGTGGCGCACGTCTTCCAACGTGGCGCGGAAGCCGTGTGTGTGCAAAGTGCGCTCGGAAACCGTGTCCTGGCAAGGTCACATATAACATCGACGCGGCGTGTGCGCTCCATGACGGCGAATGGGAGGACGAGCGCCATCAGAAGGGCTTCGCGATTGGTTAGCGATTGTGACGTCATTCTTTTCGTGTCCTCATTGAGTCGTTTCTGGCCTGTCCGGTGGCCGATGGGGAATGTTCCAGGCGTGTTAGACATGCATTACGACGTGGCTCAATTTGACCACATCGCATTCAACAGATACCGCCGTGTCCAATGGACGCATCTGTGCCCTGCCTCAATCAGCTTGCTTTGTTTGCGGCCTAGGCAACACAACCGCGCACCAGCGACGCACGACGGCCCAGCCTCCGCCAGAAAACATCAGCCCACCTGTCCCCCGGCACCAGCTGAAGCCCGGGTCAGGTCGCACCGAGCGACCCCCGCTGCCTGAGACACCTGCGGCTGTCACCGCCTCCGACCATGACCTGCTGGCGCCGCGCTCTGCTCCTCATTGGTGGACTGGGCCTGTGCAGTGACGTCATCGGAGATCCGCGCAGCCTGCCCGACACGGTGTCACCAGCTGACCGGAAGCGTGAGTAAGCCGCTGTTGTCGTGACCACGCTTGCTGTGCCCAGGCTCCCCGTGCCGGAAACGACGCCATCGCAGCTTATCGCGCATGCACCCAACCGTGCGCCTCGACCATTGAGAGATGCCTTGTTGGTCGACCGGGCCTTACTGATCAGAATGAAGCAGTTGTAGCGTTGCTCCTCGTTTTGCTTCGAATCATTTTTTTTTTCCTTTTGGAGTCAAATATCCGCCATCGCACCGCTGCCTTGAGTGCCGCTTGCTGCCATGCACCTTGAGTGTAAGTGACAGGTTATAAAAAATGAACATGCTGGGGGTGTAGCTTCCTATTCAGTTTGGGGGGCTTCAGCCCCCCCCCCCCTTCCCAACTTGGGATCCTGCCCCCTCACTTTGGGAAGAAAGTGGGCCAAATCTGGGAAGAAACCTGTTTGTTGGCACATTTTGAGGGTAGGTTTGGTCTTGTTTCACTGTACAGCCCCCCCCCCCCCCCCCAAATGATTTGGTGAAACTACGCCCGTGCATTGGCTGTCGACAAATAGTGCAGTCAGCACCAAATAGTACCCAAATAGTACCAAATAGTAACTTTACGGAGTGGGAAACCACATCACCGGAGCCCAAACCGGTCCGAAATCGGGGTCGTGATAGACTCCTCGCGATTCGATGGGTCCAGTCGAGTGGTTTGAAAGGATTCCCAGCAGAATTCACCTTCCTTTTAGTTTCCTTAAATTGAACTGCACCGTACGAACCACATTTCGCTAAAGGCGCCTGAGAAGAATGTAAAATTGTGGCCGCCCGATTGAGCCCATGAATCCGTGCTGAAGCGCCATTAAGCAGCAATCGATGTCGACGCTGCAGCTGGCCTCAGTGGCGGCCATGTGTGTAAGACGTAGCTCAGTCGTACGCTCGCTGTTTTGTTCAGATGTAAGAACCTCACACACCCGACCCCCCTACCGTGGCGGAGCGTTTCATCGCACCAGTCAGGCGACTGCGCTGGGGTCAGTTCCCGCGGAAATGTTTCGAGATTAAATTAGGACGATGATTTACTGGTAGTACTTGCAGCTTGAGGTACCCCATATTTCAGCTTGACATCAACTTACGGTAGGCACACGACTTTGCCAGCAAAGTACAGCAGAGTTGTGATCCTTGAGTAATCATTTTTCATCGTTGCCGGCGGCTGGTCAGAAGCCTGCTGACTCCAGGTTGGGTGGTTAAAGGCCCTCTGTTGCCGGGCGAACTAAGCAGAGGCCCTCTCTGTTGCCCGGTTAGCTGGTCAGAGGCCCCCTGTTGTCCGATCGGCTGGGCAGAAAGGGGGGCCCCCCTCGTTACCTACCGGGTCAACTGACCAGAGGTCCCTGTTGCCGGGTCGCTGGTCAGTTGCACAATCGGCTGGTCAGAAGCCCTCTGTTTGCCGGGTGAACTGGGCAGAGGCCCCTGTTGCCGGGTCAGATGGTCAGAAGCCACCTGTTACCTGGTCAGCTGGTCAGAGGCCCTCTGTTGCCGGGTCAACTGGTCAGAGGCCTCTGTTACCGGGTCAAACTGGGCAGAGGCCCCTGTTTACCGAGTCAACTCGTCAGAGAGCTCCTTTTTGCCCGATTAGCTGGTCAGAGGCCCTCTTTTGTCCGATGGGCTGGGCAGAGGCCCATGTTAATGGTATGTTCAACACTGATCAGAGGACCCGTTGCCGGTCAGCTGGTCAGAGGCCTCTGTTGCACAATCAACTGGTCAGAAGCCCTCTGTTGCCGGGGTCAGCTGGCCAAGGCCCCTGTTGCCGGGTCAGCTGTCAGAGGCCCGGTCGAATACTCGCCTCCGGCTGTATATCCCTGCTGGGATAGCACGCAGTCCGTTCGCCAAAGTCGATGGGCCATGGCTATAAGTCCGATGTAACCCTAGCACGCCCGGCTGAATGCCGGGTAGATATCATCTAAGTTTTGCATACAATTTCATTTAGCTCGACTAACCTGCATTTGCCTGCGACATTGTCACTGACAGTTGCCTGGACGACAGCTTGCGACAACCGAATATAGTGTAGAAATGATGAGACTCGTATCATTGCAGTATCTTGGAGTTTGATAGAGTACGTGCCGCAGACTGCCCCGTTGGTGGCGTCTTTGGTCTGGCATCAATCTCCTTATCTGCCGTGCTGCAGCCTGTCCTGGAGACGACGTCATCGATGTGTTTGTCGTCATCAATGCGAGAGGTCTTGTTGGTGATGATGACCTGGCCGTCTGGAGAAGACTGGAGATGATCTGGCACGCGTCCGAAGTACTGCCGGACGACAAGGTGGGCCGGCTGCGAAGGAGTTCGGACACTTTCGTCTGTCTGCAGGGAACAGGTGGCCAAGTGTGATCCGGTTCTCACGAGCTGCATCGACCGCAACCATGTTACCTAAAGTAACAACAGTGTTAGAGTCACGTGATTAGCTCTCCCGGTCCTCTGTCGTGCTGCTGGGCTGATAACTTGTCAAGTAGTTCGCAAATGAAACAGTTCATATCGCAAAAACCTGCATTTACTATGAGAGGTGAATCTAAGACTTCACTTGACATTTTGTACATACATGTGTCATGCCTCTGTCGACTTCTTCCGACTGCCCTCTTTTGGGTGGTAGGCCAAAGCCAGCTTCTATTATCTGCCGACAGGTGATTCTGTACGACACGCGACCTCCATTGCCGCCCGTGCCCGTGCCCCTCCTGGAGATCACCGCCGCTCACCACCCGGACAGTTTCTTCACCACCAACATCACCATCCCCAAGTTCAACTTCTCGGACGCACCTGTTGTCTCGCACTGTCTGGGCGTCGGCGTCGCCTACGTGCGCAACGGCCTGTCCGTCGCCTCCAACTGTCTGTACAGCCGGCCGGACTGGATGTACGCCGCCGCCGCCGACCTACGCGGTCTTCGCCTGCACGAGGTGATGCTGCCCGGCACGCACGACGCCGCCTCCTACCGCGACTACGAAGGCAAGAAAACCGACGACGACCTCTTCACGCGCTACGCATCGGCGCAGGAGGAGACGCTGCTGACCCAGTTCTTTCTGGGCGCGCGTTATTTCGACGCGCGCGTCGCCTTCTATCCGAGCAGGGCCGAACGTTTCTGGGTGAGCCACGGCTTCGTGCCGTTTCGGCCGTTCTCCGTGGTCGTCGACGACCTGGTGGCGATGCTTGAACGGACGCGCGAGATCGTCGTGTTCGAGATCGGCGGCTTCGAGGGCGCGTTCGACAAGCACCCGGAGGCGTACCAGGAGCTGCTGGATGCGCTGCTGCCACGGCTGGAGCGCTGGCTGGCGCCGCTGCCGCCCGGCGCGCACCACCAGGTGCTCCTCGGTGACCTCTGGGCCAGCGACCGGCGGCTGGTCCTCAGCTGGGACGCCGACGCCTCTGGTTACGACATCCTCTGGCCTCGCGTGCCCAACACCTGGCACAACGATGACACACCCGAGGCGCTGTACGACACGCTGAACCGCAGCATGGCCGACGCGCCGCGGCCTGAGCTGTGGGCTCTGGCCGGCGAGATGACCGACCACCCCAACGACATCATCTTCGACCGACTGAAGTCACTGCGTGACATGGCGGACGCGGTTAACAGGAATGTGTCGCGCATGGTGCGCTACGACTGGTGGGACCTCACGAACATTGTCATGGCCGACTTCTTCATGAGCACGTACAACGCGGACACGGCCGTCTTGGTCAACTGGCAGCGCGCGCACTGCCGCTGAGCGCCTGCCGCGGTAGGCAGGGTCACAGGTCAAAAAAGGTTAAGGGGGCAGTCAGGGGTCACAGGTGCTATACGCTTAATTTCGGTACATGACGGGCCAAGGGGTGGCAGCAAAATGCGCAAAAATGGATGACAGATTTGACACGATGGTGGTTTTAGTGGCACTTCAATTTGCCCGCTGGTGCTTGGGACGGATGGACTTGGACGGGACGATGTGCCCTATAGTGTACACTTGTCCAGAGATATGCTTCATGGTGCTTTACGCTCTGTACCCGGACAGGACATATTGCGTATTGACAGACGACGTACCTAGGAGCTGCTTGCCGGTGTTCAGAGTGAAATGTACGACGTTGGCACATAAACTGAATCTAATACAGGTGCGAGAGAGAGAGAGAGAGCTCGTCTAGAGTTCATCCACCGTAGCTACAAATGCCATCGTAATCAAATGATTCCCACTGTTGTGGATGCTCCCTAACTTGGTGAGACCCAGCGCCTAAGTGTAGCTATTAAGTAGGGCGCCGTGAATATAATACTGCCATTAATGGCGTCGTTGGCTCGTACTTTAAAAACTTCTACAGTCAATTCTCACATAGTTCCAAAGCTAGTAAATTCAGTAAGAGGCGATAGGTGTTCGTGAATGTCAACCACAGAGTGCGCAAGTTACTTATAATAACCTGGCGCGTTTCGAAACAATGTGCGCAATTTCAACAGCTTCACTGCTGTTGCCGATCTTTTAGCCTTGTTCTACTTAGCGGTGTGGCTGGCATCTGAAACTCGAGGAAGACACGGACAGAAACATTGAGAAGCCTCGCGAGACACGGACAGGAACACTGAGAAGCCTCGAGTGACACGGACAGGAGCACTGAGAACCCTCGAGAGACACGGACTGAAGCATTGAGGAGCTTCGAGAGACACTGACTGAAGCATTGAGAAGCCTCGAGAGACACAGACAGGAACACTGAGAAGCCTCGAGAGACACGGACAGGAGCACTGAGAACCCTCGAGAGACACTAACTGAAGCATTAAGGAGCTTCGAGAGACAATGTCTGAAGCATTGAGAAGCCTTTAGCGATGCGGACTGGCGCGTCGAGAAGTCTCCAGGACCACGGACTGAGAAGCCTCGAGAGACACGGACCAAAGCATTGAGAAGCCTCGAGAAATACGGAATGAAAAATTTGCATGCTCTGAGCAATCAACACACCGAAGCATTGAAAGCTCAGATGGTCACAAACTGGCGGGCCTGTCTGCTGCTCGGCCGTCACGTAATCCACGCACAGTGTCACAGTGACGCGCAGTGACTGCGCGTCACACAAATGGAATTTTACCCGGCGATGTACTCAACCGCTCTCGGAGCCGGGGTATTGGAGAGAGTATGGCCTGGCTTGGTGGTCCAGCTGATGAGGCAGGGTTCTGTCCGCGTGGTTAAGTCATGCTGAAGATCGCATGTGGGCGCTGTCCACCTCTGCACGTGCACGGTGTGTCCGTGACTGCGAAGAATTAGTTACTAGCCCAGCGGATTTTGGGCGCCGCGTCTGTCTCTCGCTGTCAGGCGGGACGCACGAGCCGGCCCAGCCCCATCGCCACGTGGCGCCAACGGAAGTGAGGTCGTTCAAACGAGGGAAAGTTACGCGTCTGAGCCATGAAGGTCAGGGGTCAGTGTTGATTGTATAGTGGCGTGCTGCGCCCCGGAGCTTGCCAGCGTGGTGACGTCAGTGCGGGCAGCTTACGGGCCTCTAGATGAACCCCAGACCGACACATCGTTCGAAGTAAGGCAGGCTGCACTGGTGTGATGCTAACCAGGCGTGGCTTTTAGGCGTAATTAGATTTACAGGAAAGTCACCAGGCCCGGCTACAACGATGCTACGCTGTTGCTCAATGAGGGCATGCCCACTTGCGCCGATAGGATACTGATAGCTTAGTGGTCTTAGTGGGTTAAGGGATGCCAAAGGTACTGGGTTCGATTCTCCACTGTTTCCGCTCTCCCTGTTGGGCATAGAAACAGAACCACGGGGGTCACCATGGACTTTTCGTAGGGGGGGGGGCGACGAACTCTTGCTTAAGTTTGGCTCAGCCCCCCCCCCCCCCCGTTTCCTCACCCCTACCATCACCGTGGTTCTTTAGTTTAAATAATATGCTCGATTGGTCACCCATCTCGGTTTTATTTTGGGAAAACAATGTCAGTGCGGGTGCCCAAAAAAATATGGACACGATCAATATCGACGAACAAAGATGTCGGACGTAAAATATAAACACGTGAAATATGGACACATAAAATATCAACTTCGTAGGATAGTGACACTTCAACATTTTTAAACGCAAATGTAAACAAGAGCCGTTTCACGGAAGATTACGGTGCACGGCTTTAAAAAGCGTCTTTTTATGTTCAGCAGTCATGATCTAACCCCATACCTTTTACCAGCCATTGTTGGCTAGAACTGTTTCGCAGGATTTAAACACATCCTTGCAACACGCCTAACTTGATATAAGGTGTGGTACCAGCCAGTTAAGGAAAATGATCAGTCAGGAGGCCATACTTCTGATATTTACCCTGGCTTGGCAAGGTCAAGCGGTCACCCTGGCGCAATTACATATAAAAAACGCAATGAAATCGTGTTCGTTTCGTTGCAAACATGTTGTGTTGGTTTATTTTGTCATTGCTCGCGTTAGAAACACATGGCTTGGAGGCAGAAGGGTAGCTGGAGTGGGTAACTTGGTAAATAGCGCATCTTAGCAGAATATAATGGGTATATGCTTGCGGCGCGCATCAAGGGGGAATATTTAATCCTATCCATTTCACAACTGCTACTTGTATCGCTCAAACAAAATTTTCCAAGCACTGGCATGCTTCCCTCAGAACCTAGATAGGCGCCCTCAGAGACCGCGGATGCTGCCCGCGGATGTCTGATTTTCTTCTCAGGGCAGAGACAGAGCGGTCCTAGGTGGTTGCCGTCGGTGGAACAGCGCGCTTCTAGTGCCAGCCCTCCCCGGACATCACCCAGAACTGAAAATGTTGCAGCATTTTTGGGCCCTACTGCTCGGGGTCAAAGGCTGTCCTCCCAGAAGTGCGTCATTTTTTATTTCTGTCGCGTCAACCATGGGCCCAGATCCAGTATCGGATGTTCAGAACTTGGTCCCTTTGCACTCTGCCTTCCCCGTCCCTTCTCCCATGTCTGGCACCGTTGGCACCTCTAGCACGTCAGCTGTTACCCGATTCCCTAGTTTCGCTTGCGTGTACGCCACAGGCAAAAGTAGGCCAGTTGTGATGAAGCTTGCCGTACATTGCATGGTTGCATGCATCCACGTACGCAGAGATTATTACTACTTTCTGTTATATATGTAACATTTGAAATGTGATTTTTTTGTTACATCGTGATCAGAGTGCTGTGATCAGAATCCATAATCCATTTAAGCGAACATATTCGTGAAATTTTTGTAAGACGTATCGACGCGTACGCCTCAAAGAGTTTAAATCACTTATTTGACGTTTGAGTATTTTGCATGTTGGTGCTTTATTTGAAGATATTTTACGTTGACGAAACTCTAAATATCCACGTCTTGCGGCGCTACTGCTTTGTGTGGCGAGATTTTAAGCTCTTGGTGTTTTCCGGGGCGATGTTTTCCGAGACGATGCTTTGCGCGTCGATATTTCGTGTGTCGATAACTTGTGTTGTGAACTTTGGCGGGTCAACACTTCACGTGTCGATAGTTAGGGTTAGTTAGATCTAGACGTTATGTAGACATCAGGTGAACGACTTTTTTGTTTCAGTTTTCCCTGGCATAGCGTACGTAATCTAAATGCAGGGACCCGATCTTCATCTAGCGACACGTCTTCCCCGTGGTCTTGATCCAGCGACACATCTCCCCGTGGTCTTGATCTAGCGACACGTCTCCCCGTGGTCTTGATCCAGCGACACGTCTCCCCGTGGTCTTGATCTAGCGACACGTCTCCCCGTGGTCTTGATCTAGCGACACATATCCCCGTGGTCTTGATCTAGCGACACGTCTCCCGTGGTCTGATCTAGCGACACATCTCCCCGTGGTCTTGATCTAGCGACACGTCTCCCCGTGGTCTTGATCTAGCGACACGTCTCCCCGTGGTCTTGATCTAGCGACACATCTCCCCGTGGTCTTGATCTAGCGACACGTCTCCCCGTGGTCTTGATCTAGCGACACATCTCCCCGTGGTCTTGATCTAGCGACACGTCTCCCCGTGGTCTTGATCTAGCGACACGTCTCCCCGTGGTCTTGATCTAGCGACACGTCTCCCCCGTGATGGGACTTGCCCGTTTGTGCTATCGCCTGTCACCCGGTAGATGTTCGGTCTGCAACGCAGCTCTCTCCGAAACATTGGCCCGCAGCCCAGTCCGTCCAGGCCAGCTCGTGATACAGCCCGCGAAAGCGCGCTATGCTACAACACCGACCCGGCATTGACCTGCCAGTGCTATGTTCTTCCAATGTGAATTTATTCTCTTCTTCTTAATTTTGGACACACGCGCTGAAGTGTGCACGAATTGGCAGGCGAGGGCCATCTCAAACGCAGCATTGTTTGGCTGATGCCAGTGCTGTTGCGGACAGAGCAGCAATCAAAGGACCTGGGTCATAGAATTTGTATTGCACCAAAGTAGATTTTGAGATATGATGGCAATTTTCAGCCACAAATAAGAAAGAAGAGCTTGGATTCAAATTTTTCGATTTTTCTAAGTTTGTTTGTTGGTATATCTTATCATTGAAATGTCCCCAACATATCACCCTCCTGCCTTATCACAATAGACCACAGGCCTCGTCTTTCAAAGTTGCATATGTACATCAACTGCTGACTTTCCACTGACAGAGTAAGCAATGCTGGATATTCCAAGCTATGGAAGGCTTCCTCAGCTCATTACACTGTACATGAACACAAAATTTAACTGAATCGTCACAATTCCCACAATGTCATAACCTGCCTCCAAGAACCAGAGGCGGTCTAATACGGTGTTTGCTGTGAACGGAGATGAATCATGCAAGAATACCAAATAAATGGCACATGGTGCCTTTGAAACTATCTACATTTTCCCCTTAGCACTATCTATGTTTCATTCTACAACCTTCACCGCACCGTTTGTGCGATGCTGCGTAAAAGCAAGGATCGCAATACATTTTATGCACGAATATTTTTGCCCATCTAGTGACATCATTGACATTTAGCAATGGCATCAAATGACGTGGAATATTGCTACATGTTGCAGCAAAATTTATGAAAATAACTGTTAACATCGTGTGCAGGAACTATTCACATTTCATAGAGCCTGACTAAAACTTCCGATCGCAATTGCATACTTCAAAGGCATCATATGTTAGACGAATTAGACG